CTATTTAAAAGATCAAATAAATATGCATCTATAGTTAAATTTATTACTTTTTTAAATCAGTCGCTCAAAAGATATACACTATAAACAAAAAAGTTTTAATTATTGGGATAATTTTTTGAGTCAGTGTACTAACCATTGCAAAAATTGCTACAACATTTGTAAATCACTATAAATTGACATCACAAACTAGTTTAACCCAGCTTAGTAGTTATGCCGAAGAGTTGACCAGTAAACTATTAGATGGCAAAAAAAAAAGAGCAGGCTCGAAAAGCTAGAGATCAGACAAGGAGGTGCTTCCAACAGTTGGAATTGAGTAAGGAGCAAGCTGATACTCTTATTTCGATTCAAGCTCCTGGGAGACATGTTGAGAAAAGAGATCCCATCAAAATTATCGCCCAAGATATTATAAAAAATAATCTCTCACCTGAACAGATAAATGGAATATCATATGACTTAGCTTCTTTTGCTCCTACTACTGTTGCAGGGAGTCCTTGTCTTAATTTACTGTATTACGAAAGGAATTGCATAACTTAGAAGCTGACTATTTCATTACTGAGGTAACGAAAATATCCTTTATTATTGAAGAAGCAAATCAGATTCAAGCAAGAAAACGTATACTTTGTGGGATCAAAGATTATGATTGTCCCGAGTTCTTTTACCTGGAAAAAGTTCAGGAAAGACTTAATAGATGTGATATTACCAAGCCTTCTTCAATGCAAAATCTAATAGATGTTGTTATGGGTCACGTGGGTGACGCAATTTACGCGTAATGGTCTAGAATCTAAAAACCCGAAAGTCTGGCATGAAAGATTGAGTGTAGCAAGGTAAGAAACTATAGATAAGGCTCGGATACTGATAGGGGAACTGTGTGTAATTGAAAAGTATAGAAAGTTTGGCAAAGCTTAGGGTTAGTATAGCCAGTTATAAAGTAGATAGCCATTGTTAGATAGAAAAGTATAAATAGCTTCCAATGTATGCCAAAAAGGCAGAGCTGAATGTGTTAGGAAAAACAGCCCTCATTGAGAATAGAGATAAGAGTTAGTGATATACCAAAGAAACAGAACGCAATAAAGAGACACTTACCTTTGGCCAAGTCAATCACCACGCCTCTGCCTTCCCTAAGTGTTCTTTATAGAAGGCGTTCTCTTCTTTGTGTCATTTGTGAATATTCTTGAGAAGTCTGGGTTACGCGAGGTGCTACGGATTAGCAACGGACTTGCCGGGATAACCCATGACAATGTAATGATAATGCTATGTATGCAATCGGCAGATGTGGAAAATCTTCGTATCAATCGATACAGACCAAGTCGTGAGTCGTGGTATAATCCTGACTATTCTTGGTACTGTATTGGTTATGCAAAAAATAAAGGTGAAGTAGAAGAACCCCGACCATTCCTTTCAATAGAAAAAAATCCAATACGAGCAAGAGAATCACTTATCTGGATTCAGAGATCAATACCAGATAAATTTCCCTTCTTGTTAAAAGATAAGGATGGAAATACTAATGTTGCACCTCTTAATCAATTCTTAAGTTGCCATAGAATTACCTCGTTTATATTAAGAAAAATAGGAGCTGATCATGCTTCCAGAGTACATGGAGGTAGGAATGATTCCCGCCGTCAATATTTACGACAATTGGCATGTAGGCATAAGATAGGTCATGCTTCATCAGTTGAACATTATGGTGTAATGAATGACAGACCAATTATTCCAGCACCTAAGCCAATGTCCCTATGATTAAACAAGAATATGATGAAATTGAGGATATCTATGACTTATATGGGAATATCTAGGCTCAAAGAGCCATGATTCGAAGAATCACCTAACGGTCTGCTCTGCAATAGATTAATGATATAATTAGTTATTAATCATCAGATGTGATACCATCCCCACTCTGTGAGTCAATATTGAATAGGTTATGGGTTTCATTTTTTTTTACACAATGTAATATGTAATGGCCCCCCCTTCGTTAATACAACAATGATTTCTACAACATCCATACTCATTTACTATATGTTTCATACAATAACTACCTCCCCATGGCTCATGGAACAATTTACCACATTCCCGACATTTATCAAAGTAATCTAGAAATTTACTATTATTAAGTTTTTTTACTAATTTTTTTATATAACGAAATTCGCTTGTTTTTTCATAATCTCTAGGTATACCATCATCCGAATCAAGGCACTTCACTGAAAAATTAATTCCGGCATCTTTCATTGCTTTAAAATCAAAAATTTGATCCATATCGTATTTGTGAAAACTTGAGAATTCTATATAATAATAAAATTAATTGTCAAATATCAAAACTTTGTGAGGTTTCATTCATATGTTTACTAATCACGCTTCTTTGCTTTAACAGCACGTATACGCATCTCATTAATAGACAATTCAGAGTCAGACCCAGATTCAGATGAAGACGAGGATGAGGACTCAGACGCGATATCATTTAAAAAACTCTTTTTTATTTTAGCCTTGGATGGTGTACAATTTCTTCGAGGAATATCCGGGTTTGTTATCGCGCTTATAATATCTTGTTGGATCTCGGGTTTCACTATCTCCAGTAATCGGTGAAGAGAGATCTGAATATTTTTATTTGATATTTGTTTAATGATATGGGATATGGCTTTATCAGCTTTGGTCATTGTAAATGTTAAATTATTTTATTAATACTAATTTAAAAGTGTGCCTAATTAATTATTCGAATATTAGTTATTTCTGTATTAAGATCCTTTAAGGATAATTCTTTGAATTATAGACTGGCATGATTATTCCTAATCATTCATCATGGGTTACAAATAATTATATTTAATAGCGGAGAATGGGTAATTATTTCCCTAGTTATTTTTTCGGTTATATTATACATCGCGTAATCTAACTTAATATGAAAGTAAAGATAGTCAAAGCTAAAGTAGGAACGCAAAATGTTGATTGTCGCCTTGAACCAGGATTTTTGGGAATCTCTATGTGCACTGATAAACTCCTTAAGAAAATCGGTGGCAAAATTAGCAGAAAGTTGACTCCCGAAGAGAAAGATAGTAAATTCGTCAGAGAAGAAACCACAGCTCCACTTGGATTGGCCATAATCCCACTTACATTTACCTCTAACATAAAAACTAACGCCCGTCTTAGTAATAAAAAATCTATCACGATTCCAACTGAAGCACTAGTAGAAAAATATAACCCTAAAATACCTAACTATATTTTACTGGGTAATAATTGGTTTTATGGTCGAAAGTATGATAACGATGAACTTCAAACATACATACCTGAAATTGTAATCGACACAGAGGATGCTTTTGTAAGAACAACTCTGCGTATTAAAGATCTCAACGGATCAGGAGTATCAAAAACCGAAAAGAAGCCAAGGGTTATAATATCAGTTAATAAAAGAGATATTCATGATTTTTACAAAATACTTTCTGGGAAATAAAAAGATTCATTGTATCGCAGATCAAATATCTCTACAACTTCCGATTCGGCCACTTCCAATTCGAGTACTTCGGACGTCGATTCAGGTAATTCTTCCACATCTAGTTCGGGAATAGAAGTTATACATATGAAACGCCCCATTCTAAAGCGTAAAGTAAAAAGTAAAGTTAAATATCGAGCTTTATAGGGCCTTGCCCATGCTTCGCATAATGGAGCTAGTATCTCTGACACAAATCTCATCACGTTATAATGAGCCTCAGGGGAGCGATGATATGTTCAATCCGCATATATGGTCTCTTTATTTTTTAAAAATTGCCAAAGGGCAGTTACATTATGTGAATATGAGTAGAGACTCTACGCTCTTCATACTCATTGCAGGAAGCAACTACACAGTAGCTATTTATCTAATAATTTTAATAAATCTACTGGCGAATTGGCATTAGACACTGTTCTCACGATTTCGGTACGAGATGCTCGTGCATCACCTTGTCTCTTACTTCTGCCTTGCCTGTTTTTAGTAGAGTAAACACAAAGGTCTTAATCTCGACAAATATTACTCCAACCAAAGGCCTTGAACACATTAAGCAAATATAATTATACTGTATAAAATTTACTCACGAGTTTGAATAGTTTCCACAGTTCCTGATTTAGATGACTTTGGGTCGATAGGATGATTGATCTTAACAACATTTCTTTCACTAGTCACGGAAACACTACTTTAGCTGGTCTTGGAAACATTGGGTTCGTTAGCCTTGGTGGTAGAGATTTCGTTAGTGCTACTCATTTTTTCGTTCCTAAATATAGAATAATAGTAAGCACAAAACCGTTTTATAATCTTAATTAATAAGTGATGCATTAAATAGTGGTATATACTTTTGAATTAGCGGTAGAAAACGTTATTGGAACCCATCTTACAAGAGGAAAAAACGATGAATTTTATAATGTCCAGAACCATTAGAACTATTCTAAAACCAAATATATTTTTGTTATTTTATCGGTTAGCCACTTAGAATAAGTTGGCTTTTACCTGTGGTCGTATTCGGTAAAATACCCCTTAATTTCGACGATCCCGCTTATAAAGTAAAAAGTCAATGATCGCGACGATCTGGGAAATGCCAAGTCATTGCTACATATTATTTTCAGTAAAAATACTAATGAGAAATGATAAGCCCATTCCCCTTATAGCTCTTTTAAATCATTTTTTGTGTTTTTCTTATCAGGGAGTCATAGGAGGTAAGAAAGGATTGCTATGTAATCGTCCGGCAGAAAATAAGCTATATTTAAACGTACTGTAGATCGCATTATGTAATCGGTACAACATAGATTATCGCCTTTTCGTTTTATTATTGATGGGAAACGTCTCTATAATACATATGATTTTATGATAAGATCAAGCACAAACGAGACTTGTAAAGGTAATAAGGAGGAGCAGACCGTCAATCTCCATTAGTGCGTATGTCAAAGGACTTATGTCTTGAGAAGTCGAAATCTCCGCAATCTCCGAGATCGTCGTATGTCTGCCAACTTTGTAACCTGCGTAATCTATAAATAGACACTGATCCGTCCAAAAAAAATTTTCATTCTTTTCCTTGCAATATCTCACTTCAGCCGGAGGTCATAACGCATCGCATAAACCAGATTTGCGGAGACAAGATTTAGATCTGAAAGAATCTCATTTCAAGATTTTTCGGCAGGAAGAGATCACCGGTCGTGCATTTCTCAAGACTACAGAAGAAAAATTTCTCAGTTATGGCTTGAGGGTGGAACTGCAACCGTTCTTGTGGATTTTATCGAAGAGATAACAGAACAAAAGATACGTAGCTTCTCGTCATATAAAACCATAGAAGAGCTGAAGGATGTTCTCCGCAAATATAAAGTCAATGGGGAGGATATAACGAGCATCAAACAATTCAGTCCAGGCATGTGGTATTTTTTTTCTTGGTATTTTTCTTGGCAAAAGTGATCGGCGTGAACAATTGTTCACGCATACATAGATTATATGTTAATATTTTTTCCATTGTATAGTTTTCAAGGAAATCGATTATGATGATAAAGCGCTCGAGCAGTGTATGAATGAAATAACACTAAGACTTTCGAATCTGGAAACGATGCAAGATAGTACCAATGAAGCACGCGTTGTGTATTTATTACGTCGATATTAAACGCATCTCTAGCCATCGTTCGACGAATTACCAAGGAAGAAAAAATCTATATCGCATATCAAAAAAGGAGTTTCCGGCGAGGAGGCATCTGGTCGTGTCGATTTTGCAATAAAAGGAAACGAAGATCTTATGTGTATAGCTGAAGGAAAGCCTCGTAACGTTGAAATCGTTTACCTCCAGAATATAATGCAACTAGAGAGTGCGTACCATACCAATAAAAAGAAACGTACAGCAGATGAAGCTTTCAAGGATGATGATTATGACTATCTTTACGGAATCGTGTCTACAGGTAATTATAGCGGAGAAATGGCATTCCGTGTCTGACTTATGAATTTTTTCCACAGAGGTCATATAATTTTTACTGATCATCGCTTAATATTTTTAGCTACGGAATGGCACTTCATCGCCTTTACCACTGACGGTCTATATTGTACCAGTAAAAGCGAATATCGAATTAATCTTTCCAAAACGGCGCTCGAGGAGGATCTTGAATCGATTCGAAAAGGAGTAAAGCGGGTGTTAGGTGTTATTTTGGGTTATTGAAGGACCGAATTAGTGTCGATAATTCCCCAGCCAGTAAGAGATCGAGGATCAAAAAATTTACCAGAAAATAATGGATAGATAATTTTACGTATCTACGTATATACAGCAATAACTGTACGATTTTTTGAACTTCGTATGTAAAGCAATTACGCATTAGGCGTGATTTCAGCGGATGTCATGTGTATTAGTGAAATTAGGTCCGTTGAATCCGCGAATCGGAAATAAATATTTCTCTATGAAGTTCAATAAAAATTTAGTTCTGGCCTCTAGGCGTCCTTCGACAGAGAAAACAGAATATATAATTCACAAGTACAACTATATAATATTTATTTCTGGCGTCCTCTGGTTCCCACTTGAAATAAATGTATTCTTCTATAAAAATACGATCTACTTTCTACAAAAGCATCGCGATATAATTAATAATTAAAACCAGAAAACTTATTTTATCAAATCTCTACAATTAAAATTTAGTCGGGTTTCCATTGCATAGATGCACCCATTCAACACTTCAGAAAATATGCCTTAATCTTTCTTTTCCCAAAAGATCACCCATGGTCTCCATGTGTAATACAAAAAACGGAGCCGAAATTAATAATTTATCATAACAGATAATAAAAATCAATTACGTACGTAAATCCCAAATTTTTCTTACTCGTTATATATTTTCTTTCGATTGCCCATGAAATCCGTCTTTCCATCTCGATTGTGCAATAATAAACGAATTTTCAACTTTTATGTTGTTCATGTTTTATCATCATTACGCAGAGGAAGGAAGGTAGGGAATAAGTATTCGAATAATCACTATAATGCACATGATTGGCTTTATTTTTCGGAGATTCAATTTTCTAATAGATACGTTCTGCATGATTGGCTCAATAATTGTTCTTTTTTTTTAATGTCATTGTTCGAAAATTTTTTTCAACTCTCAAGGAATCGCGAAGAATAGTCAGAAACTGTGCTTAAAGTCCCGAATCACGTCAATACTCAAGCAAATAAATTTAATGAAGATGATTTAAACGCACTGAAAGTGAGGTTTCAACCGGCAGCCGAAGATCACGTTATCCCCAACGAGAAAATCGAAAATTTTCCAAATCAGTACGTTTGCCCTAGAATAAACAGAGACATGCTCAGCAAAGAAGGATTCAAAGTTCAAGAAATAAGTGATTTTTCGGATTGTGCCGTTCAAACATTCTTTGATAAACTGCATATCGTCACGAGAAACCCAGCAGGAATACCCGAGTCCCGCACTGATGACTTGGTTAATGATCTGCTTCGTATTACCCGACTGAATGATTATCCTTTGAAGATAGCGTGAGTAATTTGAGAAAAGTCTGTGCCATATTATCTTAATGGCATCCTAAATTTTCTTTCTGTAAAATCAGAAAACAACTACCATGTAAACTACATATCTTCAACGAGCCTTATGTTTCGGCAAACCCCGAATTTGTGGTAACTAAGAAAGCAATATCTATGATTGTTATAAAAGTATGTGTTTTATTTTATTGTTTTGCTGGTCAATATCTTTGATTACTTAAATAGGTTTTCTTTGACAGGATAAAACCTTACAAAACGTTGACCCTACAAATGATTATGGAGAAATGCAAATTGTTGCCGAACTACTTGCTTGTGGAAATGAAAATATACGTGGAGATGTTAAGATCACTGATCAAGTTTTATTTGCAACTCAATTTATCTCTACCTATGCTACATTTTACAAGGTTGAGATTCCCTTTGGATATTGGAAAGAACTTGCTAAAGGATTACCAAAAAATAATTCAATCGAAATCAAAAGATGGCCAGGAGAAAATGATAAGAGAAGTGGTCTTGATCTTGCAGACCCAGATGGAAGGAAAGCGGTGTTTACTACATTAACCAAAATTCGTCAATATCTTTTGAAATAGGTGAATCAGTAATAACATCGTGATGTGATTAGTTTAGCTATGCCTTGAGGCACTTTATATTTCAATTCTTGTGTCATGAATCATGAATGTTGCTACAAATATATAAAAGTAATCACTTCGTTCAAACATATCTATACTTTGCGAAATTTGCTTATGACCTTGACTGTTTGAAGTTGATTAATGTACTCAGGGACATAATCATAATCTAGCTCGGAGAAACACAATTATGGGGCGGAATAAATAATCTTTTGAATATATCCGTATCTTAAGTAAAACAATGATAAACCAACAATCCGTAATTGATTCTTTGAAAGAACTAAATTCGAAGCTCTTATATGAGAATGCCGAAATTCCCGAACTTAGAAAGAAATATGCTGAGATCGAGGCTGAAAATG